CATGTCGATGAGTCCAAAGCACACGACTCCGTTCTCAGTGTCTGACATCTTGAGTCCCCTGGAGGAAAGCTACAAGAAAGTGGGCATGGAGGGCGGCGGCCTCGGGGCTCCGCTGGCGGCTTACAGGCAGGGCCAGGCGGCTCCGCCGGCCGCGGCCATGCAGCAGCACGCCGTGGGGCACCACGGCGCCGTCACCGCCGCCTACCACATGACGGCGGCAGGGGTGCCCCAGCTCTCGCACTCCGCCGTGGGGGGCTACTGCAACGGCAACCTGGGCAACATGAGTGAGCTGCCGCCGTACCAGGACACCATGCGGAACAGCGCCTCGGGCCCCGGATGGTACGGCGCCAACCCAGACCCGCGCTTCCCCGCCAGTAAGTGAGGCCGCCCCACTGCCGGGCCGCGGGCTGAGTACGGGAGGCGCGGGGAGAGCAGCCCAGAAGGCGCGGCTCCTGCCAGCTGCGCACTGGGCGTCTGGGTGGGCGGCCCGGCAGCCGCGCCAGGGAGTAGGGTGCGGGAGCTGGGGATTCTTTCCCCTGCTGGATTGAGGTGTCCCAGAAGAGACACTTGGTAACGCTGGGGTCCTGCGAGCAGTATTCGGTGTCTCCCCAGTGCGGCCGACTAGGAGCTCTGCTCCGCGCAGGAGACCTCGGGAGTGCCGAGGGAGCGCCTTCCTCCCCCCCCCCCCCCCCCCCAAAAAAACCCCTAAGGGAGCTGGGGGCAAGCAGGGAGCAGAGAGGCGCGGCCTGGCCGGGCCGGAGGCTGCCCTACTGCGACGCGCTCAGGCGTCCGGCCCGGCTGGCTCTCCAGTCTAGGCAGGTGGAAGGGCGCGCGTGGCTCCAGAGGGGGCTGTAAATGGAACGAGCAAGTGCCCTCACTGGGGCTGACAGGAGAGAGAGCGGCCAAGAGGCAAAGCGTCTGGGGCTCTAGCTTTCGAAAGTGAAGACTCCACTCTCCTAAGCTCCCAAAGTTGGGGTCTACCGTGGGACCCCAGCTTTTGGTGTGGGCCCAGTTCACCGCCTGTGCCCCGATAACCCCACGACTCTGGCCGGGGATGGGCACGAAAGAAACGGAAGCGGCCTTTCTCCACTTTGCTTTTGGGCTGGAGCACTGAGAGTGGGGAGGCAACCGGGGTTGAGGTGGGGAGCTTTCCAGTAAATCCCTCGACGGCAAGGCCTGGGGCAGGCGCTAGCCATCCTTGACACCTAGGCCTCTCAGGGCGGAGGCAGCTTAGGTGAGGAGGGAGCCGTCGGGGTGGGCAGGGCCGGCCAAGGCCGCGGAAGGCAGAGGTGGCCTGGCCCGGCCCGGTCCCCGCCGACGCTGTGCGTTTGTCGCCTACAGTCACCCGCTTCATGGGCCCGGCGAGCGGCATGAACATGAGCGGCATGGGCGGCCTGGGCTCGCTGGGGGACGTGAGCAAGAACATGGCCCCGCTGCCAAGCGCACCACGCCGGAAGCGCCGGGTGCTCTTCTCCCAGGCTCAGGTGTACGAGCTGGAGCGACGCTTCAAGCAACAGAAGTACCTGTCGGCGCCCGAGCGGGAGCACCTGGCCAGCATGATCCACCTGACACCCACGCAGGTCAAGATCTGGTTCCAGAACCACCGCTACAAGATGAAGCGCCAAGCCAAGGACAAGGCAGCACAGCAGCAACTACAGCAGGACAGCGGCGGCGGCGGCGGGGGCGCCGGGTGCCCGCAGCAGCAGCAAGCGCAGCAGCAGTCGCCGCGCCGCGTGGCAGTGCCGGTCCTGGTGAAAGACGGCAAACCCTGCCAGGCAGGAGCCCCCGCGCCTGGTGCCGGCAGCCTTCAAGGCCACGCGCAACAGCAGGCGCAGCAGCAGGCGCAGGCTGCTCAGGCGGCCGCGGCGGCTATCTCAGTGGGCAGCGGTGGCCCTGGCCTGGGTGCACACCCGGGCCACCAGCCGGGCAGCGCAGGCCAGTCTCCGGACCTGGCACACCACGCCGCCAGCCCCGCGGCGCTTCAGGGCCAGGTCTCCAGCCTGTCCCACCTGAACTCCTCGGGCTCGGACTATGGCACCATGTCTTGCTCCACCTTGCTATATGGTCGGACCTGGTGAGAGGACACCGGGCCAGGCCGGGCCCAGCGCGCTGCCTCATCGCTTCCCCTCCTGCCGGTCACACAATCACCAACTACCCGCCGCTCCCTGCGCTTCGACTTTTCTTAATAATCTGTCCCGTTTAGACCGAGGGGAAAAAAACACAAAAGCCAAACTGCTGGACGTCTTTTTTTTTTTTTTTCTAAAATTTGTGGGATTTTTTTAAAAAAGAAAATAAAAACATCCAAGTGAATCCAATTCTTTAAGGAGTCTTTAAAAAGAGAAGGACATAACAAGAACAGCTTTTGGGGTGTCTTTTTGGTGATTGAAATGGTTTCACTTGCTCAGGCAGGGTGCAGTTTGGAGAGGGCTCTACGATGACTGGCTCTGGACTCTAAAGATCACAAACTTCACTCTGGGTACACTGTGCCAGCAAGGCGGACTCGCTTGTAAATACCCGGATTTCTTTTGAAGGGATGATGGGGGCTGGGGAGAGGAAAGACTCTTCGACAGGACCCACTTGTCATTGACACAAAGGAAATGCCCCCTCCCAGCGCCCTCTGGCCGCCCAGGCTCAGCCCCGGGGGGGAAAAGCCCTGGCTAAAATTGTTTTATGTTTGATGTGAACTTGTAGCTGTAAAACGCTGTCAAAAGTTGGACTACATGCCTAGTTTTTAGTAATCTGTACATTTTGTTGTAAAAAACAAAAACAAAAACAAAACCAACCCCTGTCCCCAGCCCATCATATTTTTTATGGGCATTGACAAATCTGTGTATATTATTTGGCAGTTTGGTATTTGCAGCGTCAGTCTTTTTCTGTTGTAACTTATGTAGATATTTGGCTTAAATATAGTTCCTAAGAAGCTTCTAATAAATTATACAAATTAAAAAGATTCTTTTTCTGATTAAAAGTCCACCTTTTGTTTGGTTTTAATTTGGCTTTAAAAGGCTTTTTTTTTTTTTTTTTTGGTGGTGGTGGTGGGGTCAGCTCATCATTGGCCTGATGGGGTTGGAATTGTTTGGGGGCTGAAAGGATACTAAACCAGCTAAAGAGCTGGGCCCAGAGTCCTTGTCCCACAGGGAAACGGAGTTTTGTTCTGTCTCCAGATTGAGTAGAACCAAACCTTGAGCAGTCCTGGGACTCGACAACCAAAAGGAAAAAAACTAAATACTTCCATCAGGAGGGAAAGGGTGAAAGGAAGAGAAAGAGACCAAAGGACTGGTTTTCAGCACCAGGCTTCTGGTTTTTTGTTTTTTGGGTTTTTTTTGAAACCTCAGAAGTGTCTACTGTGGTCTTATACAGCTAAGGCAACGTTTAAAACTTTAAAATGTTTAAATAACATGCATTTTAAATAATCTGAATGAGGGATCATTTTTACTGAACGAATGGTCCCTGTAGATTTCAACACCAATCCTTGTTTCTAATGTGCTGTAGAGCCTCGTCAGAATTGGAATTCAGGGGAAGACTATTTTCAAAAGTGGGAAAGTCTATCTGGGTCTCTGTTCTGTTCTAAAACAGCTATCCCCCATGCAGGGTTAGACATGGATCCCAAGCCTCTCAGGGTCTTTCTGGTCTTGGGAGGTTTCTGACTGGGCTACACCAAAGGCAGGACTTTGGAAGCTGGGCTTTCCCTCTTTGTTCCACCGGTTTCCATCTCTGGAATATCTTTGTAGTAAGGAATCTTTTTCCTGTCTCCAACTCTCTACTTCTCGCTGCCCACCCCCTGTCACCACCACCCAAGCAAAATAATCATCTTTGACCTTTCTCCCTCCTTCTAATTTCCTGGTCTCTTTGGTACCCAGATGTGGTTGTTGGGGAACTCTTAGGTTGCCCTGAGGAGAGGAGGAGGAAGGAGTGGCTGTGGACAGAGAGAAATCATAGTCCCTAGATGGGCTATTGCCGATTTCAGTGTCACCCTTGATAAACCTACCCAACAAAAGTGGCCGGGCGAGCTCCTATTAGCCTGAAAGTGTTTGTGGGGGTTCATACTTGGCATGTACTCATTTCATGCCCAGAATTCCATCTTTCTTTTTCCTTTCTTCCCTCTCTTCATCTTTTCTTCCTCTCTTCTTTTCATCTCATTCTGTCTCCATCTCTCTTTTCACCGGACTTTTCCCATACCCCACTTGTGCAGGAAATTGCATAGACCAAGGCCTTGCTCCATGACCAGCAGTATTCTTTGTTAACTTCCTGGGGGCTCCTCTCCCCGAATGCCTTAGGACTGGGGGCCAGGGTGAGCTTCCTCCCCTGGGTCTGGCTGCTGAGATATGGTTTCCAATATCCAGAAGAGACTGGAGAATCCGAGGATGGTTGGTTGGGTTTACAGAGTGTGCTGGTTGGGGAAAATCCCAGCAGGCCTCACATTTTGGTAAACAAGCAAAAATCAGTAAAGTTTGAACACTTGTGTTGGAAAGAGCAGCAGTGGTCCCGGGACAGGGTGCATAGGTGGTCGAATCACAGCTCGGGCCGGGTCTTTGCCAGGGAGATGTTTGCTCTAAGGTCCCAATTCCATGGGGGAAGGGAGATTCCGCTCAACCTGCCCCAGGCCCAGCACAAGCCCCAGGGGCGGGGGAGGGGAAGCAGGTGGGGCTCGCGGCAGGACACTGGCAAGGACGGCTGCTCCCCCAACTCCTAGCCGGGAGCGGGCGCCTGAGAGTCACAATTTTTAGTGGGTTGTGGTACCCTCGGCCTTATCACCCTTACACTGGATGGAATTTTCTCAAATACATTCTTCTCCTTGCCGTCTAGGGTCGGCTTAGTTTGAAGTCTGTTTACTTGTTCGGGGGTGGGGTGGGGGAAGGAGGTGATTTCAGCCGGGTCTGTGGATGGGACCGAGACAAATAGAGGCTTGGCTGCTTCTCTCCATCCATCACGCTCTGGCCGGGAGAGTGTAGTAACTTCAGGAAGCAGCCGTGGAACGCAAGCTGAAGCTGTTTTTGATAGGGAAACGTGTGCGCGCTGGGCGCAGCTAAAGACCCCAGCCTGGGGACATTCTCCAGCCCACATCTCGAAGAGCCTCTGCGACGCCTGTCGTCATCTACTCCTGAAGTAGACCTCCCCTCGGTCTCCAGCATCTCTGGCTCAGGTTCTGGCCCGGAGAAATCAGCCTTCTGGGGATGTCCCTGGCCCTGAATGCTGGAAGAGCCGTAAGCTTCCCCACGTAGGGGGGCAGCGCAGTTCGCCCCAACATCCCAGAGAAGCTGAGCGCCCCCGCCTATGCACCCCACCCATCCCTAAACCCTGACGGGTGAGGAGAGTGGGGGAGATCTTGCAGACAGCATCCCGCATACCTCCTCTCCCCCACCCCACCCTGCCAAGTAAACACGGGGACTTTCTCGAGAGCCCTGGAGTAGGGCTCTAGTGGCTTGGGGCCTGAAACCCCAGGCTTGGCTTGTTTGATGTTTAGCATCCCAAAGCGGCACACCACCCCCTCCCCAGCCTGGGAACTTGGAGCTGTGGGTCGGAGAGGGAGGAAAGCAGCCCTCTCAGTCGGCCAGGCTGGGGACTGGACTGGGTTCTGGAAAGGCGAGAAGAGCCGGCCAGAGATGCTCTGAGCAGGGGAGAAGGGAGACCCGGCTGCCGCCCCCCCCCCAACAGAGACACTTGTGGGTACAGCTGGAGTTGTCAAGGCCTGGAGGTGGGTGGGGGCAGGGAATGCTCAGCAGCCGGGCAGGGTCTCTGGGATAGGGGCTGGCCCTGAGGGAGGTAGCTTGGGGCCCTCGAGTGAAATCAGACTCAGGCCCGAGGCGACCGCGCGAGAAACGGTCGGGGCACTTACTCCTGGAGGCGGAGGAGGCCCCGCGCGCTCCAGTCCAAGGGCCTCGCAGGAGGCAGGTCTCCTTCCCGCTACCTTACAAAAGGGAAGACTTGCTCGGGAGCCTTCCGAGGATTTTAAATCCTCCTGGGTCAGGGGCAGGCCTGGGGCTGGCATCAAGGTCTCGGGTTTTGAGACCCCAGGGAGGAATTCTCATACTGAGGCCACACACTTCTCCGAGCGCGCTCGCCGGCGTATGCGCGTCGGTGAGGGGCTATCTCCAGGCGCGAGTGCACAAAAGGTAGCGCGAGTCTCTTCTCAGGCGACTGGAGATAAGAGGAAATGAGAGCGGGGTTTTCTGACTTCCAACTCATTAGGGACCAGGTAAGGTCAATGCTTTCTCTATTATGTCTTTATCTTAAAAGCGGGTCAATTTAAGATAAGGGAAAAAAAAAAATCCAGGATCTGTGTGAACCGTACTGATAAAGACTGACCCCTTTCCAGAACTAAAAGCAAGCCAGGCAGACATTCATTTTCTATAAACAAGAGAGTTGTGAGAAGCTGCCTTGAATTCTGATCGAATGTCTCCAGTCTCTCTAGACATGGCTCACCCCCTCCCCCAATTATTAGAGCTGGGAGCAGAGTGCGGGAGGATATTATTTGTGGAGAACTAGAAAGCCTGTTGGGAAATGTGAATCTGAGATGATATGGCTCTTAGGCATGGTTTGCTGGCTTGTTTGCTTCAAATGTGTCTTTCTTTTAGAATGGAAGGAAAGTGACAGACATGAGTGTTGGGAGGAATGAAGCTGAATGTTTTCTTTGCTCTGCCAGGTTCCTATTAAGAGATGCTGGACACCACCTTCCTCTGACCCTCCCTGACTTCCTGACTGGTGTGTTTGTGGTTGTGTAGTTGGGTCCTTTTCAGCTCAAGGCCCACCCTTTGTGGGGCTCGATTTGGGCTCCCTCCTCCACTAGGGGCACAGAAAATTTTCTTGCGCTGCTTTGGCCAGGAGCTTCTGGAAGGAGTGTCCTATCCCCAGTTGCCCTCTGTGGCGAGTTTGTCCACCCAAGTGGCTGGATGCATTGGGTATGGATAAGAGTAGTGGGAAGAATGTGTTTTATTGAAAGGGAGGCCCAGGGCGTGCATGCTCCCTCTTCCCACGTAGTTGTGTTTCTCAACTTGATGGTTCTCAAAGGAGCAGAGGAGAAGCAGGCTTAGCAACTTGACAGCACAGTTTCTGCCGCATCTGAAGCCACAGCTGAAGTAGCAGGCTGAGTTTCTCTCTGATAGTGACCTAATACCCTACTTGGAGGGCATCTAGGCACGGCCCCAGACTTCTTATTTCATGTTTCCCATTTGATCTCTGCTTCCTAAATAATTATTGTCTTTGTTATGCTGAGTTGTAAATAAGTTTTGGAAAGGATGAGATTTAAATCCATTCTCCTGTTCTATTTATTTTTTTAGTTACTTGCAGGACACTGCAATATAAATTGATTATTGTTATTGCTCTACTTGAAATGCAAATAAACAATTTTTTTTTAATTGCAAGCAATAGGTCTTGTTAAAGAGGACTCTCCTCCAACATAATATTCACATCTGATTCTGCCAACTCTGTATGTAGGTATAAATGGTTGCATAGAGACATCTGTCTTTGTATGCATTATAGAAGTATACACATATGTATCTATCTCATAGATCTATTTTATTAGAAGATATTAAAATAGAAAAAAACTTAATGTAGGATTCTCTCAGTAGGGCATCTTATGGAACCTGTTAGATGCAAAAAAGTTGAATGCATTCATTGCCTCAATTAAGATTCACATAAAACCGAGTGTCCCTTAAAAAATTATACGAGTAAAGAAAAACTTTCTTCAGTTTTATCCATTTTAAATTGGAATGTTAATTTATTTTCATGCAAAATTCTGGAGAATTAATTATGTTTGGGGAAAATATTAAAATTTGTTCTTAAAGAAAATGAACTTGTTGTCTGAGACGCACAGCTGTAGATGAGACTTCTTGAGGCAATCTATTAGAAAAATTATCATTTGTCACATCTCCATTATCCACTAATAGATATCATTAGTATGAACACTATTGGCCAGCTAACAAAATCAAATGGAAATGTTTCTGCCGCTCCTTTGTAGCAAACTTCCCTCCTACTCTGGTCTTCACAGAGTAGTGGAAATAAGAGGGCAGGTCTGAGTATAGTCCGGCAGCAAGGAAAAAGACCAACTTTTTCTCCTTCCCTCCATTTCCTACATTTCCAGGAATCCTGTCTTTGCTAGATGAAATTGTCAATAATTGTCAGTAACCACCAGGCTGTTGGTAGAGGGTCAAACATTGCATTTCTAGGGTTTTCAGCAATTGTTGATAATGTCATTTCTACAAAATCAAAGATGTTAGGCAATGAAAAGTGTGCTTGGATACCCTTCCCCAGTCACTATTGCCCTGGAGCCGTTCTGTGGAAAGTCGCCCAGGATGGTAGGGCCTCCACCTTGCCTAGCATTTTCCCTCTCAATACTGCTGCTCGAAGGTGTCCAAAGCTCTAGGAAAACAAGGGTTTATTTGGTTCGCGCGCTGCCGATTTACCTGATCTCCTCGGCACACACACAGCTGAGTGCGCGCGCGCAGATGTAAACTTGGGAATTACCGTAATGACACGAAGAGGACTGGGAGCTGGCTCCTCCGATCTGGCTGTTCGCTCTATTCTAACCTAGGAGAACAGGTCAATGGTTTAACGAATCTGGCTATGTTGATGTATACAGCAAATCCGGCATGGTTAGGGTCCCCGCGGGCGCCCCCAGAGCACTGGGTTTCTAAACAGGTTTGGAGCGACAGGCTTTTTCAGAGGAGATTCTGAAGCCAAAGAGGATTAAACCACTCTCCCCGCCTGGCCACTCGACGGTGCCTTGAGGTCTGCAAGGCACTGTTTTCTGGGTGGGGACTAATGGGGGTGGGGGTGGGGTGGGTGCGGAGCTGGGCAGTGACGGCTTCCTCCTCCCCTTCCGAGTGTGCTTCAGAAAGAATTGCAACTCTTTCACCAAAGGCATGCACAGAGCATACATCCCCATCCCGAGTCAGGGCAGACACAAGTTGTAGCCAGTTCATTACTACTCACTAACCTGCACTACGAACTGAAATGTTGATTACCATTTCCTGGCAGGACTGCTGAGACTGAGGCCTGGGTGTAGTAAACTTCGGAAGTACCGCAGCATATCATTATATACAATTCACATAGCAGGGAAGTTCAGTTATCTATGTGCACTTCACGTTGGCTTCGTACTGAAATCCAATGGGAGAATCTTTGGAAATATTCCACAAAAAGTCAACCCATAGCCATAATCTAGCCCTGGATGGGTTAAAGAGAACATCTTTGAGGTCAATGGTAGCGTACACGGAGCTTCAGGCATCCCTAATAGTTGATATTAACTTTCCGGTATGAACTGTTTTCTAACAACCGTATGCCATACCAACCCTAAATTGGTTACTGAAAATTCTCGACAGAGCTAAATACTTAGGTTCTGTGGAAGCTGGAGGGTTGTGTGTGTGTGTGTGTGTGTGTGTGGTTCTGCACAGAAGAGAAAAGAGGAAAGGAGAGGGGACTGGAAAGGAGGGGAAGGGAGAACAGAGGAACACTGCCTGGTGACAGTGTGTGGAGTTCTGCTGGTGTTTTTGACAGCTGAGTCATACTGGTCTTTGGGTCCAAGGGTTGGGGCAGATGGATGAGTGTGTACTGTATGTGATTTTTAGGGGGTGATGCTGGTGGGCAGGGCAGGGGGGGCGGCTGAAAGGCAATGTGTGTCCCACCTCTTGGCTGGAGTGTAACACAATGGGAACGTAATTACCTAGCTGAAACAAGCTCAAAAGGCAAAAAGTTGCAAAATAGATCGGCCTCCCTGAGAAGAAGGGCAGCCAGTTCCAGAGGTCTGCAGCCATCATCCTTTTTTTTCCCCAATACATTTTCAACAAGAGGATCTAGGGAGTGATTCCGATTCAATACACATAATCAGTTTGCAAGTCTTATTTCCATTTGAAAACAGGGCCATTTGCAATCATAAGAGCCGGACACGCTGAAAGATACAGAGCGCTTTCTGAGCAGATGATGGGTGACAGAATCTACAGGCAAGCACTAAATATTTTCTTCTAGCCTCAGGCCGTATGCATCAGGCTTTAGTCCCGGTGTATTTGAAATCGAATATTCCTGTTGTATGTATAATTTAATTGCTTAGAAAATTGAGACTCCATGGTTGGAGGGGGGGAAAGAAACAGCAGGAAAGGTGAGAGAGAAACTATGTTTGTGCTTCCTCTCGTTGCTGATTGATAGTCATTTATTTAGTGAAGAGTAGACGGGCAAAAGATTTGATGTGAAATTCAAACTTGTTTTTAAAGGAAGGGCCGCCAGAAGAGATTGCTCGGGGCTAAAATTTCGCGCGTTGGAGTCGTGAAGCCCTGCCGGGGTGTTCCGGGGACCAGCAGGATGTCTGCGGGGCCCGGGCGCAGAGCTGTGACCGAAGCCCTACGGGCGGCTCCGCGGCCTCCCAGTTGCACCGCCAAAGACCTAAGGGCCCCTAGCGGCCCCGCGGTTTCAAATTTGTTGTCAGGCGACCCAGCTGCAAATGTGGACAACTTAAAATCTCCGGCTATTTTACGGTCTTTCGTCGTAAAAAGTTTCGGTTTCTAGAACCCAGTGTAACAGCTGTCGGCGACCGCCCCCCTCCTGCCCGCGGCCTCTGCACTCCCCACCCCCTCGGCCTCCCGCTCTAACCCCAGTCCTAGGCGTCACCCCGCCCACCCGAGGTCTCCCCTCCCACGCGCAGCCTGCGGCCACGCGCTCTCTTCCCACCCAACCTCTCGAGCCCCCCATCCCCACCCCCCACCCTCGGCAAGGCTAGCAGGTGACTCTCCAGCCCGTTTTCAGTTCACGCTGGGAACAGCCTATACTCTGAGCTGTCTGCCGACAGGCTCCTAACCCCTTCTGGAGACCACACTAAGAAGTCTGGTGTGAGGATAAGTAGAAATTTCCCGTGAAGTTTGACCCCAGAATATACAGATAATTAGTTCACTGGGTCACGATGATGATCAAAACCCTAACCTGAAGGGATTTTTTTTTTTTTAACGATCTGAAAACACAATCTTTATTTGGATAAACAAAATCAAACAAAGCCAGCGAACTGCTGCTGTTTCCCTAACGAGTTTTCCTACGGAAAAGAGAGATTCCGCCTCTGCCTAGATACGAACATCTAACGAACTTTCTGGCAGGCAGAAACCCAGTCTAATAATAGTATGTGCTTAATGCCGATTCCATTTTTATTTCAAAAGGGAATAATTTATTAACCTCCTCAAGTTAGTGCCTCTTAGGCAGGCGTTGTGTTTTTAAACGTCC